TCACGGAAGGCAGTCAATCCGTCCGTCAAACTTACGTCATAGTAGTGTGATGGGCGGAATGCCCTATTTCTCTTAGGAACTTTTACCTCATATTCGATATATAGTCCTTGTAAGATCCTGACGGTTAAGGATCTCACAGGACGATTGCGACTATTAGATTATACGCAGTTCGTAGCCCGTAGTCAATAGGAGCAGTCAGACGTGGGCAGTAGATGATGTGTTGAGGACTGACAGGAACTGGTTCTACAGACAAACGGATTAGTAAGCATCATGAATTAAGCAAACGTACAGTCAATAATGACACAATCAGCAGGAGCGGAAAATAGTCACGAACGAATCAGGGATTTCTAGAAGCAACAACAAGTAAGCACTAAGCGATGTACAGACATACATATACGGGCAATCTGACAGTGTGAGTTGGCCGTATAGAGATAACGGTGCAGGAATCAGTACGTTTGGGATGTGAGGGACTGTCTTTCGGTCGGCGGTGTGACGCGGTAGATCACGTGACAAGTCAGATTGCGCAGTTTCGTTCGTTTAAAACAAATCTCGCCAAAGGCTATCTGGCAGGTACGGTACATGGGTAATTCAAAATAATAGCCCCCGGGTGTCAGTATGGTGTGGTGGATGGCTCGTCCGCCTACCGTCTGGGAACTCTGGGTTCGATACCCGGTCGGGTCACTTCTCTGGCCCTCGAAAATAGGTACAATCGAGACGAACTTACAAGCAATGACGGACGGGTAACAGGATATTGACATCGGTCACTGAGGCATAAGCAGACCTTAAGTAGGAACGGAACACGGAAAAACGGGCAGCAACGAGACAAACGGCATCATAATAAACAGGTGTAAGTTGCGTTACTTGTGAGTAGTCAGATTAACAAGGGAAATTGCCGCAAGGGGAATCAACAGTCCTCATGCTTGGAAAGTAGATCAACTAACACATATGAAACCTGATTTCAAATTCACGCATCCAGATGAAAACATGAATTATGGTGCGTTGCGCTTCACGGGGATGCCAAACGCTGATTGAACAACGGCGTCAGTACATCCCTCCTGATCGGTTCTCCATCTACCGCAGAATCCGTTCAACGTGGTAATCTACCGTCTGAATAAGCTTTTGCATCGAAATAAATCCAAGACGGATTGTTCACTGGACCTTTAGAAACAATGAGATCTCTATCGGTTCCAAGATTTTATCCACAACTGACTACCATATTTCACGGTGGTCACTTTTTCGCAGGATCAAAGTGACTTAACGTCTTGAAAACCTTTAAAAAATCGTTCAGCTGTAGCACCCTTTCGATGCCTAACTGCCATGCCACCCGAAGGTCGCACGAGGGCTGGGATACTGCCAGGTCGCCCAAGCCTAGACAGGGGAAGTCGAGAGGCAGGGGTCAGTAAATTCGCGCTCTAACCAC